TTATTAATATGTAGGTGTATATGTATATATATATGTGTGTGTGTGTATCTGTGTGTGTGTATGTTTGAGTGTCAGTATATGTATGTGTGTGTGTTTGTGTGTGTGTGTGTGTGTGTGTGTGCGTTTGTGTGTAGACGTATAGACTCTTAAATTTATACCTGGTTTGATATGGAAACTCTTTTTTGTTTTAGTACTCGTATCAATATTCTCGCAAGAATAAACGAATGAATGTATTTGGAGACCTACACGATCATAATCTCATCGCAAATATATTTCGTCAAATTGTTGCTTCATTTCTATATATATCCCTTTTTGTATGTAATTTTGTTCGAGGATCCACAGTATGAATATGAACTTAGCATGTATTTTGTATTTAAATGTATGTGTTATATATGTGTTAATAAATGTCTGGCAAATTTAATTTCACATACAGTACACGAAATTAAGCTGATAATACTCCATCGCATTTGAACGGTTCTGTAACGCGTTTCTTCGAATTGATTTAGGTTGTACGAACTCTAACTATGTCTCGATAATGTTCTTGGTGATACGCTCGGGAGATGCTGCATCTATGTGCCCTAATGTATATCTTTATTTATTTAACTTTGCATTCAAATTCGAATGAGATTATCCTGGTTTTAAAGATCGTTCCTGAGAATCAGAGAAAGTTTAGATGGTCATGTACATGGCGCACATATGTGTTTCGCCACATTTTAGGTACATACGAGAATAAAAAATTGCGTGAAGCATACCCGCCACGGGAATTCTAGTGTATCGATAACTACTGCTAGTTGAAAATCGGCATCATGTATAATGCTGCACTCCGAATTGCTGATGTACTATATAATTTATTGCTCTGTACGACGTTTGATCACTTAAAAACGTGAGGGTGTTCGATATACACATTCGATACTGAAGTGTTCCTACTGTTTTGATCGCTCTAAAGTATCCGGGCGTCTATATTCGCTTGAACAGCGAAACCCTGCTGCCACCAATACTAATCTGATCGGTTCACATGCGTTATTAATAAGTTGGGCTATAAACACCCCGACTTCTGCTTTGGGATATGGGGAGTTTGCGTACGCTCGCGTGGACTTCAGTGGCCTGGATGTGACTAAGGTTACTATAGTGCAAAGTCAAGTGCGAGAGAGCGCCGGCCCTGGCGCCTGGAGCGATACAACTGCCGATACATCAGGTACCCTGGGCGAGAGTTACCATCAGATCACAGGAACATTGACTCCTGGTACAGACTATACTAACACATGTGCTGATCCCGCTGCCTATGAATCAGGACTCACATGCAACGAACTAGGTCTATGCGCCGCAGATCAAACCTTCCTAGTCCAGTATATGATCCATCAAGACGTACACGCCTTGTTTGCAAACCCTGGGCTGGGTAACAGTGCCGGCTTTGATCTCCGTTTACTAGTCGACGTATCCTATGAAACTGATATGGCCAGTGCCACCCGTCGACGTCGGCGACGCCAAGCAACCACAGATACAGACAACACCGGAGTACAGCCTGCTTCAGATCCCGCTCAGAACGGACAGGGACCCGCTTGTATCTCGGCCGCCGGTGAAGTGAAAGGGTCCGATCAAGTTGCGGAGACCGATGATAATGACAGTGCCGCTGATGCACTGACATCCTCGTCGTTTATTGTGATAGCCGCAGGCGTGATTAGTTTGGCTTTGTTTTAAAATAGGCTGATGATGAACTACAGACGGACGTGTGCGTACATGCCATCCTTGATGACACGTATTCGAATTAGGCAATTTAGTATATATTAGTAAAATAAATGATTGGCAAAGAATATTCAGATACACAAGCTTATTGGCCAAATTTACAATCAATATATACAGATACAACCGTTTGCCTAATCTACTCTAGAATTAATTTGTGTCAGGCGA